GTGCCGCCAGGCGCCGTGGCGGCAAGAGCGGGCATGGGCGGGAGAGGCGGATCCGCCGATCGGCAGAGGTGGAAGGGCGGCGGCAGCGCCTCCGGGGAGGGCGCTCCTGTGGGCAGGCCGCCACCCCTGTGATGGCCCGGCGCTGGCAAACCCGCCGCGGTTGTGTGCTGAGAGGACGAGCAGCACAGCCCCTATGCCCTTCTCCCCTGCCCCCGCCAGCCTGCGGGGCTTCGCGGGTGGTGGCAGGAACCTCTGCAGATGATGGTGCAAAAGGCGGCCTTCCTGCGCATCCTGTGGTTCGTATCAACTCCTCTTCCCGCCAAAATGTGCTCTGGGGAAAGCCGACACCGAGTCAGATCTAGGCAGACAAGCATTCTCAGCTGCACTCTCGTGTTTTCCCAGGGGAAGTCTCGTGGACTTTCTTACAACTCACATAAAAGTGATTCCTGTCAAGTTCTATGGCAGATTTTTCACTAAGAAGCGTGGGAAAATCGTTTGTGCAGAGGGAATGAAGAAAACAAAAGGAGATCGGAAACAGCATATACAAAGCATGCCAAAATAATAACGGCAGCCTTACCTGCAATACTGAGCGTACTGACAGCCGGCAAATTCCTTTAGGAATCTGGCAAAGCTTTGAAAAGATGAAACGGATTACCGAGGCTGCCATTTACTACTATTATGGTACTGGCATGTTGTCTACTTAAGAAACATGACTCAGGTGCTTCCACAAACAGTGTGTGTACTGTTTTTCAATGACTTGTCTTCCTAGAATCTGTCTTTCAGTATTATAGACATTATGTAAATTTTCCCCTTTCGGTTGCCATCTCTTATTTTATAAACAGTAGCAACACCAAAATTTACACCCTGTCTAGCATGTACATACTGCATTAATTATAAACTTTTTATAAAGAAGGACACTTACCCAAGTTTCACTGACACAGTTACATACATTCTTACTCCCATGATTATTTTCTCTTACTATCCTATTCCGCAAAAAATGAACACGTGGGGATATAGGAAGCCCTGTGAAAATTTACAGTCCTGAACAGATAAGATCTTTAAGGTAGAACAAAGATCTTCAAATGTTAATCGACTCTATTCAGCTTCTAAAGAACTGAAGATTATGAATATAAATTTAATATTTAAACTTGTTTGTATAAAATCTAGCCATTTTCTGTATGCTATTTTTTAAAAAAAACATCATGTCAGTTGTTCCGTAAGAACAGATGTTCAAATACGGATAGGCTGACAGTTTATGTGGTGGTGGAAAAATTAATTGCAAGTAATCCTAAAAATGGGAGTAAGTTGCTTGAAGGAGGTATATATATATATCACAAAGAACAGGCAAGATACTTAAAGAAGTAAAAGCTGAAAAGGATAACAAAAAAACACGATGGGAAAATGAAAAAATATCAGTAGTCCTAAAAATTTGTTTTACAGAAAAGAGAATTCCACCAAAAGTTTCTTTTTGTCTAGGATGAAAAAGGTGGTCCACTGATGTTTTTTTTATGCAAGGTTTGTATACTTGAGTAGAAAACTTTGAATTGCTGTTGATAAAATTTTCCACAAATGGAACGTCCACCAAATTAGTATACTAGAAAAAACCCAGTTGTATTATACAGGCTTTCAATGAAGTTTGCTATGCAAATTGTGACTGAAGAACTACTTTACTTCAAAAGTACATCAGTTATGTTTAACAAATGTAGGTGAACATATTCTTACAGTCAGTGATGCTGAACACATAAAAAACCCCCACCTTACCCATTATCTTTTATGCAAATTAACCTTTTGTACCAATTGGATTCCTGTTGTTCATACTGATCCCTACAGACAAATAAAACCAGATTTTCAGTAACACGAGGATGAAACCTATTTTCTTGACCTGTTAACTGCTTAGGTTTTAGATCCCATTCGAGTTTGGAAATTAAAATTCACAACTTTTTAGAAAAGCAAAACACCACAACATTTTAAATTAACTTTCACACCAACCAGATTGCCCCATACTGGCAATCTCTGGTTTGACCTTGAACCTACATGTAGTAATGCACATACACAAAAATGCTACCAATATCAGTTGTTCACACCATAATGAAGTACTGCCTAATCATATCACTCCTGAAAAAGATAAATCTGAAAGCTCACCAGTGCTATAATAATATTTATGATTAATAGTTTGCAGAACATAGCCTACAAAAAGTGAACACATTACTATTGTGCAAGATCTGCTGAATACATTATATAGAAAATCTTATGAAAATACTACAGTAATAATTAACAGTATGCATATGATCCACAAAAATGCACTGATGAAATTGGTACAAAGGATAAAGCTGTAAAGATGCAATTTGGTTTTCATAACAGTTAAAGCAGAGTTAGGCATTGACAGCTGTGAAGAAGGTGGGTATTCTTAACATGTTTGAGTCTTTTATAAATGGAGTATTTTTATTTATAAAGGACTAGTTACAAAATACTCTCTTGGGCATTAACAATCCCATCAACTTAAAATTATCTCTTAATAATTATTTGTGTGTGGAGATGAAGTCAAAGATGCTTGTTTGGTAAGAGGTGTTGTTCTCTCACCTTGTGAAAACCTGTATCAGGAAATATTGCTTTCAAAAATTTTTTTAAAATTTCTTTTTATATCCTGGAAGAAAATTATGTCTTTCTGCCCCCTTCTCCACTTTTTTCTTCTTTGTTTTGCCTTCCTAGCTGCTGGAAGGTGTACATTTGTATGAGACAAAAGAGGCTGAGAAGACAGGTGAACTACCTCATATTTTGCAGTCTTAGTTTAAGGAAAGAATTAATCTTAGTTTAGGGAGAAAACTAGTTTGAGAAAAATTGAGTTGAAGAAAAAAACTTGTTACCCTTGTGAAGCTTTGTATTTTAAGAAAATTGATTTGCTGGCCTTTTTTCTTTCTAGCAGTCCCCCACCCTACCTACAGCCTCTGTTTTTAAAGGACACTAGTACTGGTGATGAAGATAGTATTTGGGATGAACACGTTACTTTATTTTAAGAAACTCTGTTCATGATCCCATGATCTGGCACTTTCAGCACCTGCTGCAGAGTCTGCTTTCTACAGCAACAAATTGTGTATAAAACCTGAGCCCTGACAGCAAGATGCTGGGAATTTCTGGAATGTGAGCAAAAGTGAGAGTCACAGCTATTGCTGGAGCTGGAAGATACACAAAAGGGAAAAGATGTGTTACTGATTTCTTTAACAGATACATATCTTGCACCTTGGTCCAGCCTCACTCAACTTTTGTTCCAAAACCCTGGTTCCCAAGGGGGAACAGAAGGCAGGCCAGAACAGTGCTTAAGGCCTGA